GATACGAGTTGGAAGTGACAAAATAACATGGGAAAATCCGCCATTCCTCACGGTATATAATAACTGCCCTTCAATCCAGAAGACTGCCCGAGTTACTAAGATGTCAATTTGGGAGAGAAGGGGGGGGGGTAGAATCAGCTTATGTTAGAAGCACATCTATGAAGGGAAGTTCCTGATGAAAAATCAATTAAAGCCCATTGACCACATTGTGAGCCACGGTGGCTCACACACGTTTTCCGCGACCTCCCAGTAACCGATAGCTCACAACTTTTCGTCTTTTTTTCCATTCGTGGCTGTTTCTTTTTTGCATTCTAATCACATGAGGTCGCGGAGTACCTCACCGGGATGAGCTGGAGAAAATTCATCGTTCGCATGCTTGAAAACCAACTGTAAGATCAAAGTAAGCAAAAAGACAGGACGCTTCCGTCTAATAACCAGCTTTTGGCGCGCTGTCGCCTACTACTCTGCGCAATAGGCGCTATAGGAGAAGCAACCTCTACAGACGGACTTTCAACAAAAAATTTTCGACTTTTCGGAGTAATAGTAGAATTATGCCCAACTACAGAGGCGTAAAGAAATGAAAATTTCCGGGCAATCGATCAAAATAGTTGATAATTAACCTTGGTGCAGCTGTTCGTCTTCAATGGCTCGTTGCTGCGCCGCAGCGAACTTCTCAACAATCATCGATATTGGGAACGCCAATACAATAATACCGCATATAGATGTAGCCGTCGCTACCAGCTTGCCGACTGAAACAAACACTTTTGTGGTAACGAAAATGAAAGTCATATTAAGCAAAAACAATAAAATATTAGGTCGAAAAAAGTCTTCCCACTGCTGTGACATTTTTTATATACAACAAAAATTAGTCAAAGATATACTCGCTGTTAGCCACATCAGTGCTCCACCTGACGGGCAGGTAAACATTCTCCTTCTCCCAGAACTGGGGAGGCGAGAGACGAGGACGAGTAAGTCAGCGACCTTTCTACTGGTGTCATCGAACTTACTGACAGTTTTCTCAGCTAAAAAAGCTTGAGGGGGCGGAACAGGAGTTGAAGGGGCTTATGTCAGGAGAATATGGTGGGCAAGGTGTGGTCGCCCAGCGTGGCTCCTCAATTATTTGGTAGTTCTCCATAGGCGTAGGGGGTCTCGCGTAATCACGAACGAGGTGTCACGAGTCTCGGTCATTTTTTCAACAGTTTCCACGGGCTTCTGGAGCCGAACGACACAAATGGTAGCAGCTACCGTGTGTTCTTACAGGGACAGCTCGTTAAGCAGCGTCCCCCTCGCGTCCCACAAGCAGCACAGGAGGACCTTCTCGGAATGCATGCCCGGTTTGGCCTGCTAGAATGGGTCTTCTCGTTGAAAGAGACAACGGTACTGTGTGAATTGAAATCACACACAGTACCGTACAGGGGACACATTTCCCATGTACTCTAAGCGATTCCTTAGAAACCCCTGGAGCAGTCCCCTAGAAAATCCTTCTGACGAGGGCGGAGAAGGGGAGACTGACAAATGGGTACTCGTGTGTATCGCGTGCAATCCGTTAAAGTATGAGGAGTCACCAAGCCAGCAGTTCCCGATAGCCGAAAGCTTAGACGCAATTGACGACTGCCACTTAGGTAGACCCGAGTCTTGTCGCAAGACTGCGAGTGGTACCATCCGACTCTCTTCCACAGCTCCGAGAACGGTAGATTCTTCCACTTTGTGGGGGATCCGGCGAGGTTTGTCTTCAAAGAATCCGTCTCCTTTCATGATACAAGCGAACCAGCGGTAGACAGTCCTGATGGTAGCGATGTCCTCCTCCGATGCATTACATTCGTCGCTCCAGTGCCGCGGCTCCTTTTTGTAGAACCTGAAAGAAGCTGCTCCTGACATCGATATTGAACACTGGGAAGAGCAGGTGCCTTTATCTATCCCATGGGGAGACTTCGAGAACGTTCTACAAGCATAGCACGTTATCTCATCTTGAAGCATCAAGAATCGGAAGATTGTAAGCTATTCAAAAAACACCGACACGACTTTCTTCCCACCCTAATAGTATTGGATTAAAGAGGACGCATCACAGAACATTATTATTGATGAGAGAGATGTTTAGGGGATGGTCTTGAATAATGTGTGTTGGGGTGTGGGTTATAGGAAACCCCCTACCCTAATACCGAATCTCGCAAATGAAAGCAACTTCTATAGCCGCGCCATTTATCGTAGTCGTGGGCGGCACGAGCTCATTAACCCACGATAGATTCGCCCAGTCTCCATGGATCGTCAGCAAAGATGCAGCACTGTGATTTGTGTACTACTCCCGCTTTTCCCATCCTCCCATCTACTCTATGTTCCCCTTCCAGTGTCCACCTTTCCCTAAAAAATTTTCTAGCAATATACAGCACAGCTCCCAAACAAAATAACAGCCGTGGAAGTGCAGGTGCGTGTGGGCTGACGGCATTAGAAAACGCTCATGGAAGTGAGCTAACTAAAAAAATGGTTCTCCTGCTGCTTGGGCGATAAACTCTTCATCAGGCGCTCCCTCTAAGCCTTGATGTGGCTCTCCGCAATGTGCATCTGACTCTCATATATCACGTCAGAGCAAAACAAACAGATGGACAGACACACACATACATACAGACAGACAGAGGGATAGATGGACAGACATGCAGACAATACGAGTGACAGACAGAAAAACGGACACATACACACTCAGTGTGGCGACTGTGGAGTGAAGAGCAAACCAAGCTGCTGAACAGTCGGGCAAACTTTTATTGAGGAAAAGTTGACTTACATACGGTAACAGGTTTAGCGTCTCCATAACCGACAGTTGCCATTGTGACTCTGCAAAATTACTGATTATTCAGGGACAAATTCTCTAGTCTGTTTCCCAAGCTAGAATGGGTGACTATCACCATTTAGGATCCATTTATTGACGATACTGTTTTTGAATGTACAGGAAGGGTAGTCCCGATATTCTGACCCGTGCCCCCTGCCGAGGCTACGGTCAGCTTATTTCCATTCGCTCCACCCTGTCAGTGCCACGGGCTTTCGGCGCAGAAATGTTCAAGTATGTAGTCACTTGACAGGAACTCTTTATAGCTCCACTTTACGAATTTTAAACGCCTTTTCTCCAGAAGTGGTCCTTGAGAGCATATTCGATCGTAATATAGCCTCGGGGGTATTTTGTTCCTCGGAACGCAAATATAACATCCGCTTTTCGTAAGAGCGCCTGCGACTGAGAATCTGGGTGTTTTCATGCCGAGTGGATGTGATAATCGTATTTGCGAGTATCAACCTGACCCGGGGACAAAATCCTGGCTTAATAAACTGGGTAGTTGAAGCCTTCCGCATAATTCAGTGCCTATCAATAAGCTTATTTCTACTATATATAACAAAAGATACAATACCCGCGCATCCAGAAGACACCTGGATGGCTGCCCGTCCGGCCTCGCTGAGTAAAGACTTGAATATTCCCAGTGTATTCTTCATAAGGGCACCAATATTGGTAAAATCACTAATCGCCTACAGAGGCCGGGATCTATTTTGAGGAAGATCACCCAAACTTCGAAAGGTGGGGTGGTGAATGAGAAAAAGCCTGAGATTCTCAGTGTACCGCTGCTGGAGGCTTTTGATGGGTGTACTTTTTCTGATAAAAACGATAGGACTTTAAATTTCCTTAGAGATGTAATAATAATTCCTAATACTCACACACACCACCAGCAAGCAGCTGGAATTGAATAGAAATCTGAGTGAGGTTCATCCTTTTCCAAGTAGTACATGATAGTGGAGAAGAATACAATACCCGTCAGTAGAAACATACTTAACATGCTCAATTCGGTGATCGACGATTTGAGCGTTTGACCGAATGTCTGTAAAAGAATTGCTAAACTCCAACTGAATGTGTAAAAGCTCAAAAATGAGAGGTTATTCTAAATTTCTGTTGTTAGAGCGTCACAATATTCGACGGAGGGAAATCATTTTTGGGCATCGACAATGGAGCGGGTACACCTGCAGACTATATAATCTTATCATCAGCAAATGAGTCAACGGACGAGTTTTGGTTCCTAACCGAGGGGTATCCCAGAATTATTTCACTCAGGCTATCCTCTACCCGTCACAGGAACCTTCGTGGAGGGCGCCAGCTGAGTTAAGCGTCTCCTTGAAAACAGGTCACCACCAGGGTACAGCATTGGGTGGTGTTGTACGACCCCCCCCCTCCGAAACAGGGTGTCAGTTCACCCCCCCCCCCCACTTGAATAAGGGATCTCGGTACAACCCCCTGATTCCCCAACACCTAAATACTACCAATTTCCCACATTTTCCAGTCCAGTTTTTCACCCAAAATCTTTTCGTCGAGCTGGAGAGGGGAAGTAGGGGAGTGTAAATGGTAAACATGAAACAGAGAAATCACGCGAAAAGTTAATAGAACGGAAAAAATTCCCCCAACGCAGCAACTTTCTCTCAAACGCACATACGACCCTCCCCCTCTCTCCCAACAACCAAATACGACCCCCCTCCGCGAAAGTACGACCGCTTATGTGTTTCACACAATGATGCTGTACCCTGGTCACAACCCACTGCGAAATGCCGGACTCAACTTATCGCTACATGTTCTGTGCTGAGTGCCGGACAACTCTGCTGTGATTCGCCGCGGTGGTGGGCGTGGCCCGCTACGCCGCACTCTTTGCGTACGAGCTGTGCTGTTTTCATCTGGCTCGTTGAAGTTTTCAAAAGGATCCATTCAATTGATACTCTGAAAATTACGCCATGAAGAGAGAAAAAGCAGATCCCTCGCCGGAGTGAAAGTTCGCTTGGACGCGGTGGTGCAGTTCTCACACGCCACACGACCCGAAAACTTGGGCTATTCAACCTCGCTAGCGATCCTATCCCCTAGAAGGCGATTGGATCGCCTGTCTTCCACAGGACCATATAGTACATTTGAAAAACTGCAAATTCACCTAATAAAAAAACATGACAAGATTCGATTAAAAAAGTCGCATTGAGGCGGTGATACAATTTCTCCTACCTGTAGACTACTGCTATATCGTGCCAACTTGAACACTCTGGCCATTTTCAGAACACGAAGAACTCTAACAACAAGCATCGCTCCTGAAGTGAACCGATTTAATGGATAGTATCATATTGGTTACATCACATCAAAAATCTTCGTGCAGTGCAAAATGGACGTTTAGCGACAAAAAAATTCCAGCGCACACTATTAAAAAACACGCAGCAATGTAAACACGAAAATTATTACCCATCCATCTTTGTGCTCCCCTCGCCAGTTCTTCTCCTGCAAACGTTCATCAAAAAATTAACGTAACTAATAGCATTGAATGTACGTATAAAAGCATTTCTATTAGAAAGAAAATCTACACATGAAGATGGGTTCGGATTAAGAAGTAAAGTTTGCTCCTTCCCCATTTCAGATTTCAGAGTAGTAAAAAAGGACAGTCTTCGCCATTGATCAATCTTTTTTTGGCATGCGGCATGCATTTTGCCGCCATCTACACCCCTGAGATGCGGTGGGCGTGGCTGCGTACTTCAACTAAACGTGGTGGAGGTTTACAAGGATTCTTCATTTTTACACAGTTGTGTTGTGTCTTGTCCAACAGTGAACAAGATGACAGTTGTCTCAAACTGAAGCATCTAACGAGTAACCCACTCTATGCCATGTTGCCACCCCTACGTGTGCATAGAATCGTTGCAGCTTATTGAATGATGTGGCCTATGAAATTGCATGCGGGGTGCAGCCAATGCACAAGTCACGTTTTGTAGTCCCAGATGAACCTGGTACCGATTTACCGTCCCCGAAGGATGGAAGGTTTGGTTTCTGCGGAGGAACCAAACTAGGATTTGATCCCTGGCCTGTGCGCGTGGTAAGCATGTCACCTCCCACTACACTATCTCTGTCATAGTTTAAACTACTAAAACAATCCATAGTTACCGAAGCCTTGACAGCGCATTAGGTTTGCCACGAGAATTGTTCCACCTACCTCCTGTTCCGTGATCTTTTCTACAGTTCGAAGATGACCTTTTTTGCGTCATATCATGAAAGTACAGTAAATCGCCAAACCGTACCGGTGATCTCCTTGAAGTGCGATTCGACACCGAGAAACGGCATACACATCTCCATGTAGAACGGCAGAATGGTTAACATATCGATGATGTTGAGAGTTTTCCGGAGAAATTCACCTCGCTTCGGGTATATAAGCAGTCTACAAAAAAATGTGTTTATATAAAGCAGTGGACACTTCCACACCTGAAAGCAAGCACAGAAACGCACACGAAGCCTGGATTGCGGCTGAAACACCACCTAGTGCTAAGGTCTCGGATCAGCTTTTGTTGGAGCAGTTCGGCGACGGGGGGGGGGGAAGGGAGGGTGAGGAGGGCATTTTGCTAAGCAGCGATGTGTCGACCCATGTGTCGACCCATCCACCTATCTAGCCTTTTGTTGAATTGACGGGGTTTTACCATGGTGACTAGACGAGCTTGCTTCAGCTTCACAAGAGTTCACAGGTTTCACCAGAGTGAGACTTGTAAACCGGAGGTAGTGAAGCAGTGAATGTGCGAAAAGCCCCTCCCCGTCGCCAAACTGCGCCTCTCTTATTTTCTAGTGAGATAGACGTTCAGATACATGGTAGCTTTTACCTGGAATTAGCCTCGGACAAATCAAGTTTGATGGTTTCACATTCCTTCACGGAAGGACATCGCACAATGATATTGACTTAAGGATATTTGGTTTCCCTTGTATATACCTTCCGTAAGTAGGAAACTTGGTATAAAAACCAAAAAATTGTGCAGTTCTCTAGCTTTCGCGTTGCGCAAGAGCAGACTGCAAGATTGCCACGCCCCCCCCCTTTGGGGCCCTGCGGACAAGTTGCCAACGTGCGTGTGACGCCGCACTTTTACTCATCAGCCCCTCGTTTGTCTGCTCTCGCGTTTTCGTGCAGTCCCTCCCCTTCGCCTGCTGTTGATGAAAAGGGCCTTAATTACGGGCGTTTTCGGTGGTCACACTTGTTTTTAACGACCCCGTATTCAACACCATTTGTTATAGCGAAATATGTCTCAAATGCAGTGAGGCGGGGCAGCAGCTGGATAGAATTTGAGTCACACCGCTCACCGCAGGGTAGCACAGGCTGGACTGTTCAGCTCCCTTTTCGCCAACTATGATCCCTCCCAGCCAACGCACACATTGCCTTCACAAATCTTAATTTTGGTCGTCTACGAGGCCTATTCTAGCAAAGTGCATCAGCACCGAAAATCCGAATAAGCGGAAGTCTAGCGCTAAGGTAGTAATTGGGAAGGGGAAGGGAACAAAAACTTGCCCGCGCCTTCCCTTCCCCAAAAAATATTGGATTCAGAGTACAGAGACCGGAGTTGCGGAGAGATACAGAAGGAAATTGTATCGCAGAAACGACAAAATCTTAACTAAGTCTGAGCACTGATCAAAGGAAGGGACACAGACGACTGGCGAGTGGTCCCTACCTCCTTCCTCCAACTATTATACACTCCCTATCGCTGAGACAGAGTAGGGTGGCACTGGAACATGGCATAGAATGGGTTACACGTGGGATGATCCAGTTCGAGTCAACTGCCATCTTGTTCTGTATTGGACAGAGACACGACCACAGTTATGTCAGAAAGAAAATAGCACTCCACAAGCATCACCTTTAGTTGAAGCAGGGGGCCACGCCTATCCCATTCTTAGGGATTTCGAGTGTACGTTAGCGGCGGGGAAAGGAGGTAGGGACCACTCGGCCATCGGAAGCTACTGATACAACAATATTCAGTAATAAAAAAGTCTGAACTGACCTTATTAGGTACTCAAAGGTGAACCATCCAATGCAGACGTACTCGAGTAGTACGAGAACAAAATTCGGACTGTCAGTCGGCCGATAAACGAAATTAGGAAAGTCCTCGTTTTTTGTAGCCGATGGGAGAAATTTGTGGAGTTTCTCCGCCTGCAGTGCGAAATTAGAAGACAAATAGAAGTACGAATTAGGCGGTGTTTCTTTTTTACAGATCGTTTCACCGTCGCTGTTATTTGGAATGGTATTGATTCTTTCCGAAAAAATTCAATATCTACTATTTTTTGTTATTAATCAGTAAAAGACACGATCCTCACGAAATTCCTGGAAACGGGAACGAGATTCGCGGTGAAGAAAATCCTCACGACTGGTGGGGACGAAAAATTAGAGCCCATTATTCGTTTAATTGAGTAATAAAGGGAAGAGGGACAAGACAATCGTAATTTGTCGTGTCGTGCGCGTCAAGTATATGCGGCAATGCGCGGCAAATTCTCGTTGTACGGTTGTTTGTCTTGAAGCACGAAAACTCTCATGAATTCAAGCGAAGACAAAACTCCATGACAGGCGATACCGAATACCGAATCCTGTAGTTTTAACACTCGATTCAGAACAACTCGTCCGTAAGGAGCGGCGTCGCTCGCCACGCCCACCAGCGCGACATATTGCTACTGTTGTCGCAAATACGTACCAAACAAGCTTCAGGTCACTAACCTCACTGGTCTTAGCGTGCATTGCATGATATGCAGAAGCATTGCTAGGATCTTCTTGAAATTCTGGCATTGAGCCAAGTATCAACCCTGGAACATACTCACTGACGCTTGATGACATCCATCTTATACTAGTTAGAATCGTAAAACTTACCGAAAACAACTACCAAAGACAAAAACAACCGAGAGAATGGCAAAAATAGCGGCTGGCACCGATGATTGTGGATCCTCGAGAAATCGCCAGGTGGATAATCGGAACGACTGCAAGCATGCCTGAAAATAGAAACTCTCAGGGACACGTAGCCTTCCCAAGACCGCTGTCTAGTTTCAAGGAATATTCCACAGAAAGCGTATAGGCAAGATCCTGTAAGCACTGCGCCTCCCTTACACCCCATGTTGCGAAGGGAACCCAAGGAGAAATGAGGGCCTAACACTCCGCCCCTCTGCTTACCCCTCTGCTTACTGCTGAATTTGTCTCTAAGCACTCACTCCATCGAAGTCCGTTTCAAAGTCGTCAATGGCTGGAGCAACTGGAAGTTGAGGTTTTCCTGATGAGGTACTTCTGGGTAGCATGCAACACGATGCCATCTGAAAGCAGTTATACTTTAACTTATCGCAGAATTCAACACTTGTGAAAGCTTTTAGTTGTAAATTCTAGTAATGAAACTTTTTGTGAATTGCAGGGGCGGCTATAGTTGGCATGGTCGCAATTAGTCGCTACGGTGCCGGAGAGGAATAAGTCCTGCTCCAGCTCTCTTTCTCCAGAAAAGAGATCGGCGGATTCTAGTGGCCAATCTAGAAAGAAAACTACCACTGGTTAAAACGCCGCAAAAGGACTCAGTCCATGTCTTTTGACCCCGCCCCGACCGATGGCGCCTATTTCAACTGCATGGTGTTATAACCGTAGTTCCTATACGCAGTGGGTAGGTCAATTCCTCACGTGGCAGCACTGGATCGTTTTACTAAAATTTTATCTCGGCCAGCTTATACCCAAGCCATTCGTTTCCAAACTGGTATTGTCCGAATATCTCACACCCATTCATATTCCATCATACTCACATGATGGACAAGTTGAGTGTCTGTGAAGCAACTGCCCTGATAACCCTATTTTCCAGCTATAGTTCGCTGTGGACGGTTGGGCGTGTCAAGCGGGATGAGTTTGGCGCGGTGCCAAACCCGTTCTATCATGTCGTTCATATTACTGGTTTTCTACCACTTTTTGTCGCATGCGCGCTCCAATAAGAACGCAGAGAATGGCTTTGACAGCGTGACACACTCATACTGCCAGACACGCCCAACAGTCCGCAGCGAACTAGAGTATACTTCAGCTGCTTTAGTTACGACAGCGCTCCATCTGGCAACTCCATCAAACGGATGTCTTCAGAGGTGCGCGGAGGGCGAAGATGATGACTAGGAATCAGATGCTGGAGGAATCTCTCGTATCATTATGGCGCATTTACTATGATGTAATATGATACTTGAATCTAAGACTGTCTTCTTCCCTGCCCACTAATCGCTGGTCCCTAGATGTGTTCATTCCCGTGAAGGCCACCATAAATAAACGTCGATTGAGATGGATTGAAGTG